ACAGCAGCACGTGCATTGCGACCGCAAAATCCACACACAAAATGCATATCACAATATTCCACGTGTGAAAACACAAGAGGCATTTCAGCAACTCATCACACAACTAATTTACCACCCATTCACGACCCCGCCGCAACGTAATGTGTAGGCTCTGGTAGGTTGCGCATGAGATCACGGCTAGTGTGACATCACCACACTCAAGTACAAACAGATAACAGTCACAGCTGACTGTCCACAGTGCGTGGACCTGCAAGAAGACCACACTTTTCTCGGGCCATTATCTCCGTAACCGTTCAACTTTGGACATAGGTGTTTTGGGTTATATCGGCATACTTTAACATAAGGAACACCCTCCCGAAGTTTGGTCCATTCCTCCTGGGACACCCTGTATATCTACTGTGGAGTTGTAAAACTGTGTGTGGTAGAAGAGAGAATGTACACATACATTCTGTGTGAAACATCTTGAATGCTAGTAACTGCAAACAGAGAAATGGAATGGCAATTATCCACATAAATCAATATCTAAACCGTATAATTATTAATTTATGCATACAGACTGCCCCTGTCAAGTCAGATGAATCTACTCCACCCCCTTCATGTTTTCTTATCATGATTCCATACGCAGTTCTCTCCCCTCCCATGCATGCCATATGTCCATCTCATCCTCGATTTGATCATTATGACAATATTTTGCAGTGCGTACAGACTACAAAGGCCCTTATTACATAATTCTTTCCAGCGTCCCGTTGTTCCCACCCTCTTAGGTACAACATTTCTCCTTAGCCCTTCAACTGTCCTAAGAGACTAATATTTTAACCCAAATTTAAGCACAGCCTGCAATGTCAGTTGTAGAAGGTTTTGTTAGTTTCCCTTCATTGCCACAGTGTCAGTCCACGAAGAGAAGTGTAGCCTACAAACAGAAAACTGAAAACATCTCTTAGACGTGAAGATTAGCGTCTTCCGAGATGCAGCACTGTGTAGCCTGGCAAACCATTACCAACACTGTGCAGGAATCTTCTGCCTCTGTCTTCAGTGTAGAAGTAAAAGGCAGATGAAAGAGTAGTCTGTTCCAAAATGTTGGCAATGATCTACCAGATTGCACAGTGTAATATTCCAGAAGACAGTAACCAACACAGCCACTGTCACGAGACCCACATGTTTCACTTCAGTTAGACGAGTTCCAACGAATGAAATGCTTCAAAAAGTACCAGAAAAAAACCACACAGATCAAACTGTAAAGGACAGTCAATACTCACAAATGTAGCACACAGATGTTCTTTGTAAGAGTGCAAAACAAACAAATATATGGGAAGAGACAGTAAGAGGTAAACCAGCAAGCGCTTACCGGACAGAACCACATAGATCAGACACTACGACAGGACCTCTCCCACACACACAGCCAATGAGAATACTTCACACAAGCCAGCACAAAAACAGAGCAATGAAGCTCTCTGCATAGAAGTGTATTAAAAATGAATGATAAGTGTACATGCGAGCAATTCAAATGACAAGAAATGTGCACGAGAGGTGTGAGCAGGCAGACAAGCAAGCTCGTACCTTGGGGGCGAGGGGGCCCACCAGAGTGTCCATAAGGTGGTCCGTACGAATTAGGCCTCTGAGACTGACCGGGCGCCACGTCGTCAAAAGGGTTGGAAACGCTAATGTTATCCCCCGCACCTTGGTTCGGCACCCCCACACCTAGCAGTGAGGTAAATAAGCAATGACCTGCATTCACAATGTCATGTGCATCACTTTCTATATGCTCAAGATTCTCTTCCATAAAGCAAATATTTGTAATGTCCCAACTTACACTGCTGCCAAAACTGGACAACTCAACGTCAAAGCAAAGCAGAAGATAAGCTGCTAGAAAAAAAAAGCATCCAACACCGAACGTCCTAACTTTACAGAGCAAACGATACACTACTGCGTAAGCAGGCTGGACATCTAAGTCCGATGGTACTACAATGAAAATGCAAAATAATGCGGTGCTAATTAAGCAGTTCTACAAGTCTGGCCCCAGGTTATGTCTGCTGTTTGTGTAATGAGCATATATCTATGACAATGGCGACATTCCAGTATTCAGAGATTCACTGAACTTTTCCTCCAATGAATATTCATGTACTACATGGATGTCTGTACAGCGGATCAATAACGTACAAGAAGAAATTTCGAGCCCTCTCCTAGCTGTGGGCTTCACATTAAAGTTTTCCTGACCTCCAATATGCAAATATTAACTGCAAAAATAAAAGGCAAGACCTCTGTGTCTGTTCTACGCCTGCTGGTGAACCTCTACCGCTTCGTGGGGTGGGGTGCAACGTGTACAGTGGCTGGGGTGGAGAATAAGTGCAGGTCTTTACAATCACTCTTATTCAAGTAAAAATAATTTCAACACCAACTTTAACATTTTAAGAACAGACATAAAAGAAGTTCTGAACCTGAAATTAAGCACTAACATTTAAATAAGTGAGACCTCTGATGATTACTGTCTTCTGGGATGTCATTTGTAGGCCATTATCAAGGTTTAGGAGGAACCTGCCTTCATCTCTAGAGCACAAGATGTCTCTTCTCCCCTTCCTATGGATGTGAGTGGCCTTCTTTGCTGCAGCTCACCTAAATAATTGAGTCGCAGCATTTTCCTACTCACTCTGATCCTGAAGGTGGAGGCACACGCTTCCTCAAAACAGCAGTATTTACACAGTGCCACAACCTAAAAGACCACAATCTGGAAGACATGTATATCTATGCTTGACATGCCATTTACCGAACTGATTGCACCCCTTAGGGGACTCTCCCTGTAAGCTCAAACTGGGAACAGTGCTTGGTGAGGCACTGGAACTTTTCCTTGGGTATGGGTTAGGTCATAGGGGTTATGTGACAATGCTTTCAGTATTGAGACAGCAGAATGGCTGATGTATGATGAACTGGAAAGTATCTGAAGGGAAGATGTACTATCCTGTTTGTCTGAAGCAACCACGAAACATGACAAAAAATCAGTCAAGATATCAAGTAACCTGGCCGAGATTCAAACTGCACACCCCCTTGAATACAAGTCTAGAGTATTACCTTCAGGCCAACATTTTCTATGGGAAACCACAGTTCTCACATGTCCATAACCTGCAAGTTTGGATACGGAGTATGGTGAAGCAGTAGCCCTTCTCAATGTCACAGACAGATGGCTGTCGCAATACGGTATCAATAGAGAATAGTTAAACCAGTGCACACACCTACAATTTTTTGGAATATTGCTATTTCAATACATGCTAAAAAATCGGCTACAAAATCTTGCCTGTCTGGAAAAAATAGATGGGCTGTAAGACTGATTTCATGAAATTTCCAGCTGAGTCTGGATGTGTCAAGCGACTCACGAAACAGAATCTCCATCAAAAATCATAAGAAGAAGATTACTGTCTTCCGGAATGTGACACTGTATAGTATTGTCCAAAATTATGAACATTTCAGAGGAGCCTGTTGCCACCATCTTCAAAACAGAAGGAAGTAACTCTTCTACCTGAAAGGTGAAGGCAGCAGGCTCCTCTGAAATGCAAGTAATTACCCTCTACCAGGCTACATGGCTTCACATCCCAGAAAAGAGTAATCTTTATAGTTACTTTGGTGAGAACCTGAAATATACGGCAGAAGGATTCAGCATTATCAGGTTCCTGGATTTGTCCTTTGTTTAGTATTTCTAAATGAACACAACATTTCTGAAAATGACTATTTCCTTCCTCAGGTGCAAAGTTGAAGAGGCACTTACTTACTGGGCTAGGTGTGTTAGGAAGAGTTAAGCTCAATCATTAGATTCATCTGAGTAGGTACCTCCCTACCTTTTCATCTGAGTAAGGAAACAGATACAGTTTCTGAAACATTGTGTTCTTTCAGGAACACTGCATGTATATTTATTTAACAACACTGTCAGTAGGTCAGCCTACACAATGATGAATGATAGAATTATTAGTGAACAAGGAATTGGGAATGTGGAATGAAGCTGTTGCAGCCTAATCTGAGGTACTATTGTGGCGTTTATGTAGACAGGCAGAAGAAAATGACAAAAATATCCCCTCTCAGGATAGTTGGTCTCTAGGTCCAGATTTCAACCCCTTCTGGCCATATTACTTGAAGTAAGTGCACACAACTTGTGACATAAATTCACCAGACAAACCTGTTCTGGTTAGGTAATACTTTGTTGCTTCATTTCAAGCCCTCCATACTGAACTTAACATATAACAGGAATGCAATGGAGGTGGGAGCAAAAGTGACATGTTAAGGAAAAAACACACACACACACACAAACAGATGTAAACAACAGACAAGTCAGATGCTAAGAAATGGTGGGCCTCTGCAATGAAGCTGCGAGTAGGCCTCAACACCACCCTCTGTGACAAGCTCTGTCACTCATTTCTTACTATACAGGGTGAATCACGAAGTTTTACCCCCACTTAGGGAGGGCATTCCTGAGGTAATTTGGAACAAAAAATGTGAATATGCTAATGGTATCCAACTCATAATTAAAGAGATACAGTAATTTGAAAACTGGCAAAAAAATCTTTTTTTCTTCGAATTTCAGTCAAAACAAATTAGAAATACAATACAAACACTTTTTAAATCGTTAATGTTTTAGGAAAGAAGCATTCTAAAACCATTTTTTTCCTTCAATTTCTTAATTTTGCATTGTGCAACATTTTTCATCAATTTTATGTTACAAAATTACATTATTTTCAGCATCCCATTCTGTAAACATACCAATGGTTGCGTATCACACCCTTCTATAAATCTGTTTCCTTTAAACTGTAGTGTTTTAAAAGACGACTGGATTTACATACGATTTTCAAAAATATCTCCCTGCATGTCAACACAACGCGAAGCATGTGTATGAACCGCGCTCGTAGCATTTCACAGTTCCACACGTTTGTTCCTTATTGTCATACCCGCGTCCAGAATACGTTCAAGCAACACTTCACATGTTTGTACCTTTACCCAGTACACAATGTCCTTCATCCAGCCCCAAATGCAATAAAATGAACGGCCCAATTAGCTGATCACACAGAACACCACGCCAGACACTGACACTGAATCGGTGTTGAAAATTCAATTATATTGTGGCACGAGGATTGTCTGCCCAAACATGTAAGTTGTGACTGTTGTTGACCCCATCCCGTGTAAACTGTGCCTCATTGCAGAACATTATCAAGCGGTACAACTGCCGATTTCCATTTGACCAGTTGCAGAACTGCAGACGAAGAGCACGGTCTCCTGGTTGTAGGTGTTGTACTTGCTGTAAATGATAAGGATGCAGCACGTTCTCATGAAGAGTCCTCCACGCCATGGACTGAGAAACACTGAACCGCCGAGCTAGACGTCTTGTACTGGCACACGGACTGTGCTCTACAGCATCGAGAATGGTTTCTTCTTCCCACAATTCATGTTGAGGATTTCGTTTGTATTGTATACAAACGCTGGGGAGAGAATCAGTTTGTCTTAATGTGTTGAATGTACTGCTAATGGATTTAGGATTCGGAATCCTGTGAATAGGATGACGTCGGTGATATTCGGCAGCAGCGGCTCTCACATTTCCATCACATGCACCCAAAACAAACACCATATTAGCGTATTCCTCGGTGGAAAATGTGTACGGCATCTTAACTTCACAAAGTCACCAACACAATGTCCTGTTCACTACTGGATTGCTTTACCTAGGATCGCGCAACATTCCAGCCAGTCAGCTTATCTGCTGACACAGCTGACTGGAATGCAAGGTCCCCCAGGAGGGGAGCAGAGCGCTGCATTCACATGGATGCGTTTCGAAAATCTATTGTTACTCTGTAACTATTGAAAATCGACTAAAAGTTTATAAGGAAATTTTGCAGGAAATAACCCCAGGAATATGTACCATAAGCCGGGGTAAAACTTCGTGAATCACCCTGTATAGCAGTGAATGGTAAAATGATACATGAATGAAGAAATGGAAAGGATCTGGAAGGACATGGTCATGGCTTAAACTGAGGTACTATCCCAGTATTAGCCTGGATGGACTGAAGCAAACCACTAAACACCTCAGTCAGAACAGCTGGGGTCCTAGCTGAGATTCAAACCCTACTAAACCATTACTGCTGTTCCAACCAATTAAATTCTGGCTGATGATTTGGTAGAGTGGTAAGTTATTTATGAAGACGGTGATGAGGAAAAAAAAATGTGAGGCACTTCCTTGGTCAACTGGATGACTGGCACCTGCCAAAGATGACACTACATTATGGTCATACATATAAAGACAAACATTTATGACATTAATAAATCCAACTTCTGAAGTAGTGTATACATTAACGGTACATCACACAACACACAGAGACCAACAAAATCATGTCACAATGAATAATGAACAATTTCCACAAACCTTTGTAGGGTCAATTACATAAAGACTTCATCTCTTCCACTCAAACATCAGGTGAGAACTTGCTGCTGTCCATTGCCAAATGAACACAAGATAAAATATGCAAGGGTATAAGTTGAGACCTATACCAATAGCTGATCACTGTCACGTTGTACTGTGGAGGGATATGCATCCCATTCTCACAAGCCACCCTATCCAACCCCCGCCATGGCATCCGAAGTAAGGCCCTCACACCACAGACGTGTTTCAGCACCAAATAAGTAATGAGAAATGCAAATCCACTGGACTTACCTGGGTGTGGAGAGGGAGCATTTGTTTGAGACGCAGGGCGCTGCATCGGTGGAGAACTGTAGTCAGGCGTAGAGCCAGGTGGATAGCCGTACCCATAGCCATCCATTGACGTCCCACTTGAGCCAGGAGCGGGAAATGAATCTTGAGAATTAGACGACCCTGCAGACCAAGCAACAGGACCCTGTGTACTTGGTGCAAACAGATAAGTAGCACCTTATGTCAGCCTCTCCTGTTCCCATGTGTGAGCTGGACATTGGAGGGCAGTAAGAATAATGTACCAGTACCAACTGAGTTATCCCAGCTCCTTAACCAATCACATTACTCAAACTATTTCAACTCTATCTTCCCAATATACTTTTCAATATTCCACAGCCCCAAACTATTACTGTTTTTTGTTAGTAAATGTAAAACAATGTTATCGGGCACTACTAAATATTGCTAACCACAATAAAATTCATGTTCATATATACTGTTTGATGTAACCAGGGCTGATACAAACCTCATGCCACCCAAAGGTGATAGAAAATTGACCCCCCACCCTCCCTTGGTTAGAAAACAGGCAAATTTTCCAAAACTTTGTCAGAATCAATAACATGAAATTTCCAGACACTGTGACGAAAACTCTGTCATTGACGTAATACCCAAAACAGTTTTACTTGCACTGTTGCTAAACATGTTTGAGTTTATTGCCAGCTAATGGTCACAACACAGAAAGAATCTGCAGAATGCAGCATGGGGAGGACATGTCTGCATGTCTCTCCAGGCGGCCGCTTAGCTCGCTGGTGCTGCAACAAAGCCTACTGACCTGAGCAAAACTGACCTGGTGAAGGCACAGATGTTGCCTTGGTATTCTTCTTTTTTGAGGAAGCTTCCACCTGGTTGATGATTGGTTGTGGGTCGATTCCGCCACGGTCAAAATGGCACTCGAAAGCCAACAGGTTCTTAGTGTAGTGTTTTCTCAGCGTGTAGGCTGCACTCGAAGACGCACCAATACCCAGCAGACCCGCAATGTCCTTCCATGTCTTGTTCTTCGTGACCTGTACCCCAACACAAAATAAATTGCGAACATATGTTCCCCAAAGCTACACCCTGCCACGAGGCACTGCCCTGCAAGAAGCCCCACTATACACTAATTATATGTTAACTAACTTCTACATCGGACTACCTCTACAATAACTGCACAATTTTAATTCCTTAGAAGGCCATGTAGAAGCTTGTTACTATGGCTGCAATGATTCAATGTAGATCATATTTACAGACTGATTTTCTATTGCCTGTAATTCACCTACAGGGGGAAAGATGGCACTACCATACAAAACATGTGATTTCCACACTTTCTAGCTTGAAAATTATATTTCTATATGAAACAGCCTGGCAGTATTTACAGCCCAAACAAATTGAGCAAAGAAATAAAACTGTATCAACAAGAAACAGCCAAAATATTGATACTTTTCTTCAGAAAGTCATCAAATTACATAGGAAATGAGATCTTACTGGAGTTTGATACTTCATACAACTGCTTGAGGGCGGCTCTGGTTTTCACAGGTTCACCTGCTTTGCTTTCATAGAAACAGATTTTAGATATTTAATTTAAGAAACAGATTTAAAAACTGTCGGATGGATTTTAATGAGCAAACATGTTGTCGACTTCTGTGGTTGTCACAGTGGTCAGAACTGAGATTGCTGTTTCCTGGGATGTAACCTGTGCAGCCCAGTAGAAAAGTACGAACATTTGCGAGGAACCTCTTCTATCCTGAAGATGGAAGCAGCAGGTTTCTCCAAAATGTCCATATATTTCCACCAGATTATACAGCATCACTTCATGTTGCAATAACATGATATTTAACCTCACAGTTTAAGCTGTAAATTACTTTTGATTGAGAAATGCCATCCTCTTCACCTGGGTTTCTTGCAGTTAACTGTCTGTCTCTAATTCTCACAATCCTTCCTCACTGGCAAAGCTGCCATTTCCGTCAGTGCCACTGTCAGATATGCTAAACTTCCTGAGAGCCACATTAAACATAATAAACTACTGTAACATCAATTGTACGTGTATGATCTGGCTCTATACTCGAAGAGCAAAAACTTGTTAATTACTACCAGTATACTTTATCTACTATGTAAAACTAACTACATGTGCCAACATCTATGTTTCAAAACTACTAGAAAATGAACTATTATGGAATCAGAACTATGGTCTTTGAAGCTGCAAACTATGAAAAGAACTCCATGTAAACTGCGTGAGATGTGAAGGTCTCACAGTGGTGAATATGAAGTTAACTCTCTTCTGGGATATGACAATGTGTAGTTTGTTACATAGGTATAAACATTTGAAAGAAACATGAAGCATCAATCTTCAGGTAGAAAAGCAGAATATTGTTATCTATCTACCGAACTACACGATGTCAGGTCCCAGAATACTGTAATCTCCATGGGTAAACTGTTCCATATATCACAGAGAAGTGATTGTTATATTTAACTCTACTTAATGATTGTCATATTATTTTGTGCTTCAAATTAATTATGCTGATCAGCTGTACAACAATTCCTCACTACTGCTGCATAGTATCATCTTAAACTTAAACTTTATCCTAGGGTTACCCATCTTCCATCGATATTTCGCCCCACAACAAGAAGCCTGGATACATTCAGAATAGGCTTCAACCCCCTTGTAAACCTGACTCAGTATTGTGACAGAAAGACTGATTTGCTGCGATGGAAACAGGGTGTCGATCGACTACAACTAAGACTAGGTGAACTACCATGGAACTAAACACTGCACCTTGCATACCTCCATGAATCCCCCTCTCTCTTTGACATAGATGTACAGTCGAAAGAGATCGAGGGGGTTCTTGGAGATTGTGGGGCATGCTGAGATGGGTGTCCCGCGTTCTTCCATGAATTGCAGGAGCTTGTCCAGCCAGATCCGGCGCTCATGACTCTCGTCCATCTCGTACAGCTTCCCCAGACTATCCGGTTTCTACAAGCGTCCAACAAAAAGTGAGCTTTTTAATGAATGTCACAATTTGCTGATGTGTCTGATTCACTTTAAGCACTCATCTCAATATAATTTGTGAGCAGCGGCAGGATGGTTGCAGTCATTCTAATTATATATAAGAGGCCTTCAGTTCGCTTCATTTCAGTTTATATCTTTTCTTCAGTGTACCGTGGGTACACATGAGACGTAAGTCCTCTCTGAACTTTCCAATGTTTTGCTGCGCCCATCCAATGGTGCCAAAGGAATGTTGCTGTGTGAATGACTCAACAGTAACATGTACTTGCAACCATAATTATGCCTTTGCAATATTATTACTTCTAAAAGGAAAAGCTGTCCCTGTGCTTAACTAACTGAGCACTACGCCATGAAGGTATATTGGGGGTGAGTGGATGTATAGATCCACATTTTCTTGACCTAGTCACTGGCTGGAGGTGAGTGGCCAGCTTCATGCTCTGGCCACTTTACTCCCGAGGAAAGAGCCCCCAGTACCCATTTAATAGGAGGCTGTGTGGGCCCCAGAGATGGTGTGGACAACGTGGAGAAAATTCTTGACCATCTCTGACCCCTCAGTTGCCCTGCCTGTAGGCAGCCACTATACTGTCTGCACTATCCTTGTTCCATTATTACTTCTACTACTCTTAATATTTCTAATTTTCTTTCTTGACAAATTGTATTCATGTTTGCAGTATTTAAGAAACAAATACAGCATATTCTAGTACCACAACATTCTTCAGATGTCTGCATATAACCAGTCGAAGCAGGTAGGTGGATGACAATATTTGAGGGGGAACATACTGCTCTGCCTTCTACCCTGAAGACTGGAGCAGCAGATACCTCCAAAATGTTGGTAACCCCCCTTCTGTTCATGTCAGTTGCAAGCTCTAACTAAAGGGGATTGCAGGGAGAGGAGTGGCAACTACTAAAACAGTGTGTGCATGTGTTGCTTGTCTCTACAGTCTGAAAGAAAACATGCTCTGATAATGTGTAGTAGTCTGCAGAGAGGGAATGGAATGAGGACATGGATGTAAAGCTCAGTGTTTTCTGTTAAGTGGGTACCTGCTGTGCTGTACTGTACCCAGTTCTCTTCATGGCAGAGCTTGGGAGCGCAGGGGGTTTCAAAATACTGATGAGAGTAGTGTCAGGCTACAAGGTATCATAATCCAGAAGTATAATTCAGTATTACAAAACATAGCTGCACCATACAGCTATATGTTACTTCCTTACCAAAAGAAATTAAGTGTAATCTTAAGCAAGCACTGTCCAAACCACTCGGACACACGAGTACAAAATTCTTAGCTGTCCGCATACATGAACTGTGCCTGAAAGTGACCAGGTCTTCCTGGCACGGATATTAAAGCAGAGAGATGTGCTTGCATGTCACTTAATTACGAGGCTTGGCCTATGTGAAGAAAACCACCTGGCATTCATGTGGACAGTCAATATCTGGACGGAGACCCGAACAAGATAGCATGGAGGCAGACAGGCAATACAGGAACACATTAAAAAGGGTTGGTCATTTAATCCCTCTTAAGTTTCGACGAATGACAAAAACAGGCATTCTGGATGCAGACATACTTAGTAGCATGCTATTTACAAAGCATGGCTGTGCTTTGTGCAAGATGCAAGCGGGGCAAACAAGTACGTACCTGCATGGGCAATCACTGGACATTACACTACCTTCATATCTGAACTATAGATATCCATGTTTGGATAAATGCACAATCGAGGATATTTCTTTCAGAAATATTACACATTAACTTGGTGCAGCTTAGATTGGCTACAGTGTGAGGAGTCCTCATTGTGTAAGTTTCTAACCATTAAATGTCTTTATTTACTTAAGGCTCATTTAATGATACTGTCAGCAGGTCAGCTTATGCAGCACACAACTGCACCATGGTTAGTGAATAATGCACTGGAAAAGATGTGGCATGAACTCATCACAACATAATTTGAGATACTACCCAAGCACTTGCTTGGAGGGACTGAAGAGAAAAAAGAAACCTGTCAGGTTACATGGTGTTGTAGCCCAGATCTGAATCAAGACATCTCCCAAATACATGTGAAAAGCATTATCTCTCATTTACAAAGTATACCTTGCAATAAAGCATTCTGAATAAATTGATCTATTTATTTACACTTAATTTTAAACCTAGCATCACAATATAAAACATCTACAGCTTCAAAGCATGTAAACACTCAAATTAAGAACCTGAAGTTTACTCATGTAATTAAAGATAGATGACTGAAAATGAGGGCTTGAATTGTATCCAAACTTGACTGCAACACTTGCACATCACTTTTAACACCTGAGGCTAAGACACACATTGGCAAGGGTAGGAAGTAAGTTTCATATCATCTTTACATGTTCTCTATTAGGTCCATTACAGGACAAAATGGTAGAAACCAATAGAAAGGTTACATTTGCAATTTGAGGCTATAAATTAGTGGCATAAAATGTGCAGCATAACCAATTAATCAACAAAGGAACTGATCAGTTATTATTACATTAAGATAACTGGAGTGCCCTTAGTCATGAGATTCCTCTCACAGTATAGAGAGTAAGGGACCTGAAAACTACATTTTCCCTTCAATAAATTTGTGATCTCAAATATGTCGCATCCGATAATGGGTCTCGGTTCAAGACTCTGTGCATGTTCGAGACGCAATCACATTGTTCTCTAATATAGAAGAAAAATTCTGTGACATAAGGATAAATTGGTTTTTATTTATAGAAACCTTCTGTTGGTACATCTTCATAGTAAAGCATAATTTCTATCACAGAGAAGTCACAAACAGTTCAGCTTAAACTGTTATCAGATGGCAGGATACATCTCTAGACTTCTAAATGATAAACCATCTTGAATTGGAAGATCTGCTCTTCTAAACAAGCCATCTTGTGCCAGTGCGAAAACGGTTAACGACGGGACAAGAGAATCAACCCACTTGCAATCTGCTTTCACAAACTCAACACCCCCAACCAAACAAAAGACTGGCTTTGTGTATGAGATTTGAGGTTCTCATGGGGGTGGCTTTCAAGAGCACTCTCCTCTTGGATCTAAAGCTGTTCAGTTCGGTGTACCACTACCAACATTTTGGAGGAATGTACAGTCTTCACCTCGAGGGTAGAAGAATTACTGTCCATGCGAAATATGTATTTCTAAAGGTATGTCATATCTTCAGTAAGCAACTTCACTGAAGAGACATCAAGTGTTTAGACTGAGGCCTTAAGTATGGTGATTTTGGTTGTCATTGAATGCTGAAAATAGATTCCAGTAACTTTCTAACAATGATGATACATCCTCAGAGATGTTTCAGATGGACAATACCATTCTATCCTGAACATGAGGGCAGCATCTTCCTTTGGAATGCTGGTAATGATCTACCACAGTACATGGTGCCACTCCCCAGAAAGAAGTGACCTCTCCTAAAGTTGGCACTAATTTCGCTGACAAGCAATGGTCACTTGGTCAGTATAGTTCGCTTGTGGACTAAAGCCATGGAGCTTGTTTTGTGGTGACATTCCCTATAGAAACCAGACTTTATTCAAATAGTACTAAGGATGAACACAATATGAACTGTTATGATAGGAAACAAAATGTGGTAAAATTTAATTTGAAACAACAAAACATCTGCCATGCTTGATGAAAACCTATACTGAGGCCATGGAAAGAAACCCCAAGTATGGTGGGGATGAGAGGATTTGAAGCTTTCTTTCTCTGTCTACTGTCACACACCCCTCAAGGCCCCTTTAACTTACACCAATCAACTGAAAGTGCTAGTCTGTAGCACACATTTTCCTTACCAACACTGGTGCAAACAGAATGGCTAGACAACCAGATGGGAATACAGGGAAGTGTGCGCTGGGCATGGAAGTATAACAGTTCAAGGGAGATGCAGGGGGGATCCATGGGCAAACTTTCTGTGGCCTCGGTATAGCTAGAACTCTATTACTTGCATTCAAGTTGCTAATGATGACCCTGTGATTAGAATCAAACCATAAAATTGTTAGTTCCTAAATTCAAAGCTTTTAGAGAAGAACAAAACCCAATGACACAAAAGCATTACACTTGAAATTAATGCCAATATCCTATCAAGCAGCTATCCTGTTATGAACATGCCCCTGCTATTCAGAACGTCCTCCAACACCAACAAATGTGGACCATGCACACCTAGTTGCTGGCAAGTCCATGCCACAAGACACAGGGTGGTGGGGAGGGGGGGGGGCTTCCTCCCATTCTGCACATCACATTTGAACACAGACAACAGAGCTGTGATTTCACTTCCTCAGTGAGGTATTCATTTCATTCATTTATTTATTGCTGTTCATGATCTTTTACCTTCTCACCTATCTAGAAATGCAAAGATTAAAACATATGAAATTATGATTCTGCTTGTGGTTTTCCATGAGTGTGAAACTCTTTTGTATCTCACATTAAGGGAAGAACACTGCTTGGGGTGTTTCAGAACAGAGTGCCAAGGAGAATATCTGGAAGTAAGAGGGAGCATGTGGCAGAGGAAGGAGAAAATGGCACAGCAATGAGCCTCCTAATTTAACCTCTCACAAAATCTTACTAGACTTACCGAATAGGAGGACGGATGAACAGTGCATGACACATAAGAGTCTTATGTGTCATGCACTTATTATATAAGTCTTATTTACATAATAGATATCAGAGAACACAAATTAGAAATAGATATGGAAATGTTTTAACATGATCTAAATGGGTTAGTGTAAGAAACGGGGTTCCGCAGGGCTCAGTTTTGGACCACTGTTGTTTATAATTTATATTAATGACCTACCTAAGATCTTGGAGTTAAACAGTATACCTGTTTTATTTGCTGATGATACAAGTGTCTTGGTATCACATCCCAATTCTGGGCAGCTAAAGAATTTACTAGATGAGGTTTATTTTATACTTAGTGATTGGTTTTCAAAAAATTTATTGTCTTTAAACACTGTAAAAACATGTTGTATAAATTTTACTGCTAACAACAAGGCGTCTATTGGAAGGGATGTAGGTAACATACTAACACAAATCACGAGCTCTTACGATCTTAAATTCCTTGGTATAACTATTACTAGAACTATGAATTGGGAAAGACATATTGATGAGCTGTTAACTAGGCTGAGTTCAGCTTGTTATATGATAAGGAACATGAAACCCATAATGACTATTACTACCCTGAAAATTATTTATAACTCTTATTTCCATTCTGTCATGTCCTATGGCTTGATATTCTGGGGTAATTCAGCTTCTGCTGAAAAGGTTTTTAGGATGCAAAAAAGAGCTATACGATTAATGGTTGGTTGTGGATATAAACAATCGTGTAGAAATAGATTCAAGGAATTAAATATACTCCCTTTAAGAGCTCAATATGTATACTTACTGATGATGTTCGTTGTTAAAAATAGAGACAAGTTTGCTCTAAACAATGACTATCATGATTTATTAACTAGACGGAGAATGGATCTACATATGAACCAGGTGAATCTGGCTGTATATGGTAGGGGCGTGTCCCACATGGCGGTGAAGGTCTTTAATGCACTCCCTTATAATCTTAAAGAAATTGCTTCCATACCTAATCAATTTAAAGTCAAATTGAAGGACTTTTTGAGTAATAATTCCTTCTACACACTTGATGAATTTTTTAATAGATGATTTTATTTTGCTAAAGTAATTATTAATTGTTCACTTATTATTACAATTAACATAACAATATATATAAAGGGCCTTGGCAGAAATATGATTGCTTACTATATACTAATTGTTATTTTGAAATGTAATTATATTAATTTATGTATTCTATAACTTGTTTTTCTATGTTTTTATTGTATCTATGTTAAGATTCAAACTTGACTATTTCCACACCTCATGGAACTTGTTTCTGTATGGATTTATGGAAATGAAATAAATGAATGAATAAATTTGTGAGAATAGAATTGGATACAAAGTTTTCATAGGGCAACATGAAGGAAGGAGACCTAGACATTAGCTGGGAGGGTGTGGACTGGATTCATATGGCTAAGGACAGGGGCCAGTGGCAAGCACTTGTGAATACAGTAATGAACCTTCAGGTTACATAATATGAGAAGAATTTCATAAGTACCTGAGCAACTATTAGCTTCTCAAGATGGACTAAGCTCCACAGTTAGTAGCACGGATTATACAGAATCAAATGACTGGATGGTAGGTGTACAATGAATTGGAAAGGATATGGAAGTGTTCACGGCCCAATCGAGGTAGCATACTGATATCTGCCTGATGAGACTCAGGAAAACCACAATAAGCCTCAGTCAGGTTTGACAGTGTACTTGCTGAGACCTGAACTCAGCATCTCCTGAATATAAGTCTAGAGTAGCCTGTTATATACTGCCATGCAGAAAGGTTAAGATCCCCGTATATCTTCACTGTGTAGGGACATCGTTATGTGAAAAAGATTCCAAATTGCGACCCAATGACATAAATTTCAGACTGTAGAAACTCCTGATCACAGATAACTTCCTTAAATACGAAGAGAAGCAGAAGGTAAGATTGGCAAAGATTATATAAAGTTTCCAGGAAAACACTTAATACAAGACAAATGCACACAACAGTCTCTTTCAAAACATTTCAAGCGAAAGTGCCAACACAGCTTTGATGTTTATCTCACAGAACTGAAGGAAAATCAATTTTTTAACACAGTTCTCTCTCATCACTTTTGTTATCATGTCTCTTACAGATATTAAGACACAAATATAAAGACATTAAATATAATATGACTGTTTGATGCACAGGAATATATTTTTCAGTCTGAAGTTATCAAGATCTGTCTTTACTAAAGTTACATTCAACATTACTTAACTCTGTCATCCAAAGGTAGGTTCTAGAAATATGATTCTGACACATTCCCTCCCCCTTTACCCCCAGGAAGATTCCCGCTACTCATTTCTGTTAGAGGCCAAGTCGACCCCAGGGCCATAGTGCGGTTGGAAGGATCAGGTGGATATGAAAAGGTTATATTCACTGTATTAAGACATCTATGCAATATCATTTAGCACATTAATTTTTAATGGCTGCACCTTGCACTACTGATAATAACAAGCGTGCAGTCTGAATGGCTCAGTCTTGCATTTGTTTTATAATGCAAATATTGTTAACCCTAAATTAAAACCTGGCTGCAGCCCTATACCATCACAAGATATAAAATTCCCTACTTCAGGGCAAGAAAGGTTAATCATGGAAAATTTGACCAACTATACTTCCACTCTAGCAAGATCAAAGAGTTATCAGCAAAACGGACAACGATGTGTATCATGGCACCGCAAGATGTCAGTTTCAAAGCAGACAGACACTGATTCAGTTTCGGCATGATCTGTGCAGAATGTGGAGGGATTTTAGTAAATGTGGCACATTAGTTTCCTGAAGCACAACAGCAAGACAATACATAAACGATAAAAACCTTTGATCTGTATGGGTCTTGGTGCACATGACTGTTAAACACCTGAAAATAAACAAGTACGATGGGTCTGAGCATCATCGAGTCCCCATACAAACATGCTGACCATCACCGCAGGAGAACAAACACTGTCGTTGGCAGCAATGGAACTAATCCTTTCAGGTCCATGTCTGACTGCCAACGTTTCAAAATTGAAGCAAAATTTGACCCTCTGGAAAGTTATTTGCTTAAATAAATGGAACCCAAAAAGAGGTCCCTTGTAGAACTCAACTGCAGATTCAGAAAACCACTCCGTCCAAATGTGCTAAACCCCAAAATTGGGAGGGGGAAGGAAAAAAAAATAATTCACAGAATGGCGCATGGACTTATGCATTGAGACTGGAAGTGTGCACTGGATTTATTTTCATAAAACAACAGCATATACAGCTAACCTCTCCATCGCACAACTCCAGTAACTAAACCTGAGGAGAAGATAAAGTCTCATCCAGCACTGAGTGATTTTAAGAATATTATTCCTCTATGATTACACTGCAATGCATAAACATGACAATTTAAATTACTATACCGCCAGGGTTACTGAACAATTTTGTGCCCCTGACGTGATGGTCAACGTGCTAGCATACATCCTAATGAGAATAAGATATGTTTCAAGCAGAAACAGTAGGTATGTTTACACCTTTATTCATTAAGCCATATTCCATAAAAAGTCCATAATATGTGAAATGCTAATTTATAATATACATTATTTACAACTAATAAAACTGTAACACTAAACTGATGCATACATTGGACACTGTCCATCATCTTGTTTTTAAGCCCAAATAATACAATGGATAGAGTCAAACAGATGTATTGCTTTAACAACACACGTCTGTCACAAAAGTTAGAACATGTTCAATGTACAATACTACCTGAATAACCTGCAGGCATGAAAGTATCACATGGTACCCCACTCTGAATTAGAAAGGAGAGCATTACGAAAACATTTTCATTTCTATAGGATCCCTCTTTATTTAGAGTTTAAATGCTCATTAACTGACAAGATATGACAAAGTGTGGACTGCATAAATACGTTCATTCCAACTTTTAGCTATAATGAAGCTATGTAAAGATGTCCCATGGCTTCCCCTTTCTACCTCCAGCACCCTCTTGCACACATCAGCCAACCCAAAGCATGTTTTGATAGCAAAGGTCATCAAGTGGTTACTGGTACCAACATTCATGTGAAGAGAACAGCTAGATGACTGTACAGGAATACTGGGAAGTGCACTGAGTGAGTAGCACAACAGCTTAGCAGAGATATGGAGCAAGTCAAACCATGGGACACCTTTCTGCAGCCTCAGAATGATGTATTCATTATTGTTAAGAATATACCACCAAAATAACACATGAAGTTAGCCTGATGAAACAAAATGGTACACTATATTTAAGTGTGAGTAAGTACATCAAGTATTCAGTACCATGTTTACTAAATAAACTGCCCATGAAGACAACTCTGTCCTCACTATGCGATGTTTCTAAATACTGTACTTGTTATTTCACTGCCATGTTACCAATGGAAATATACTGACTTAAACACATGTGGGGCATACTCACTGGACTGGCAGGTGTGCGGGGCCAACTGGGGCTGTTCACATCCCCGTATTCCTCATGCATTGAATTGAGACTGGCAGCACCAGGAGAGGGCACCGTACTCTGTGGTGTGGGGGGATGGCTGTGGTAAGGTCCTCCGACAATAGAGCCATCCTTGCGGGACTTTGGGGTGCAGCCTGGATCTTCACCAGATGCTAGAAAAACCGAACCATAGGGTTGTTTAACATTTACATAGCTTTTCTGTTTAGTACTGTGGAACTAATAGAGGACATCCAGAAATATGAAACTAACTCTGTACTTCTGCCATGGGTGTAAAAGTAACATGCTGGTTTTGCAGTAAACTTCTTGGATGCAATTCAACTCATCATTCCCAATTTTCCTAGTTATATGAGTAAACATTAAAATTGTTAAATTAAGGATGACAACTGGGACATACTGACACCCTTTAAATGCCAACCACAACAAAATTTGCATAGTAAAGGAGCAGAAATGACTGCACTGCCATCAGTCTTCTAGTGTCACATAGATTAAATAACCAGGGCTCAAAATTGGATTCAGAATTTCCCTAGTATGATGTTTTACATTTAATTGATAACATTTGTTTACAGAAGCTTCACAGCCCTTTTGCTCCCTTATCCAAGGTATGCTGTTCAATGGTGCTTTGTGCACCCCTGCACCATCCAACCAAGCTCGCACAGTAACAAACTGTCATAGAGCAAAATCTCTCTCGGAACACACTTTGGGGACACAGCTTTCCTTCTGTTGCCACATAGTGCATGCAGTTACATTTGCAATTTCTTGACAACTATACATAATTTGCTGCTCATTTTCATCCATATGAATGGCATACTGTGATGAATGGCCAAGTTGGAGGATAAGTGAGCAGTGAGTTACTTGATTTTCCATTTATTTTGTTCAAGGTTGTATGAAATTTTATTTGTAAACCTCTGCCACTGTCTCAGACAGGGTTTCATAAATAATGAAGTTCCGATACATGTTCAATAATTATACTGTTCTATCTCTCTGTCGCTCTACAGCCCTTGTGGGCCTTGGCCACTTTTTCAGTTTCTTAATCCTATACAGTCGGTTGGACTCCTTGGACAGAGGATCAGCCCGTCACAAGGAAACTACCTACACAGAGAACAACATACAGAATAAACCTGCATAAACATCCATGCCTTGAGTGGGATTCAACCCCATGATCCCAGTGTTCGAGAGAGAAAAGACATTTCATGCCTTAGACCGTGCGGCCACTGTGACTGGCAATTATACTATTCTCTTAACAAAATTTTCATTCCCTTAATGTCAATGCCACATATTCCTGTAAACTTAAGTATCCACATTTATTCATAATGTCTTAGAGCTTGCACTTCATAAACACGATAGTTCCCATCATGAATTTGCAAACTGAATGCTTCCGTGAACAACTGGCTCTGCCTCTGTCTGAAAGAACAAACTGTGTGCGTGATGACACCATACCTGCTGATGCATTGGAAAGTGTTGACTGCTGGGAGCCCTCATCCAAGGGTGCGCCATCTGGACCAGTGGTCACGACTGATGTCACTGTGCCTGGAGTTGCCGGAGTCACGTTCGTTGTTGTGCCTGCAACTTGACACCCAACTTCAATAAAATTTAAGCATGCAGATCACAGTTACCAACTGCGCAAACACATAAGTTACAAAACTTACCAGTGGAGGTGGTGGTGATGCCGTTGTCATGCGATGGCTCTGGAGGGCCAACCATGTCTGTTGCATGGCTGCCACCTGGGATTGAGTGCTGAGGAGGATGGGAGTTGGAGGTGGAGGCTGGTGGGGGCATGGGACCAGGTCCATCGTGGTGTATGTGGCTATTTGGGAGAGGGGACGGGGTGCTCACAGTTACTGATGGGGGAATGCTGGTGGGTGCTGAGACCACCATTGGTCCAGTGGTTCCACTTGATGTGCCAGCTGATGAGGGAGGGCCCATGCTCATGCCAGGGCCGCTAGGTGGTGGAGGGCCCATTCCAGGATGGTGGTGTCCTGATGGTGGAGGACCCATGGGTGAGCCCATCCCAGTGTGATGATGCATGCTACCAGGTGGTCCCATACCCGGCGCACTGCCTGGGGGCATCCCAGGTGATGTCGCACCTCCATAGCCCACTTGAAGGGGACTGGAACTGGGAGGCATGCCAGAAGCCCCAAAACCCATCTTATGCTGCAAGAAACAATGCTACTATGTAGGACTTTGGGTTCTCACAGCGGTGGTTAGGAAGAGTTCTATCATAAGGAGACATAACGCCATGCAGTCTGCTGAAAGTCAACTGACATTCTGAAGGAACACTGGCTGAATTTCAGCGATCTACAAGGCATTATATCCCAAAAGATCTAACTCTTCGGTGTTACTACTGCCAACTTTGACCGCCCTACACAACAAAAACACTTAACCCTCTGAGCTCTAAGATTTATTTTGTTTTATCGGTCAGACCTCTGCGAGTGTTTCATGAGCTTGGCATTAAAAAGAAACTGCAATCTGTTTCAATACACATCACTCACATCATTACACCTTTCAAAATGGGGAAAAATTTCAAAAACGTTTAGTTGTTATAGATTCCCAGACCTCCTTTGAACTACAGATGGCCAAATGCAAAATCAACAAAACCAAAATCTGTAGTTCAACTGAGCAAAGATGGCAGAATATGATGATAGCAAAATACAAAGAACGCTCTGAAACCAAATATAATACAGTAACGCTATACAGTTTCGGACCATGTCCATCAGCCTAGCTCTTTATATAAAATCACATATTTCAGAAAAGGCTTCTACTTCCATCTTCAGGTGGAGATGATATAAGGACATTTCCACTCTACTGGGCCTATAAATAAGGCTATTCTGATGCCTTGGAAAATGAGAGTTATGTCCACTCAATCTGACTCCTCCTTCCTGTCACCAGAGCACCAATAAGGATGAAGCATCACACTGACTGACTGACTGATATATCACTGGCTATTGGTCATTACAAAACTGACTCCATAATGGGAGACAGAACAGCTGTCCAACACATTGGCTGTTAACTAAACTTTACTAAGGTTCACTGCCCAAGAAGATTTTAGTGCAAATACATTTAATTATTGTACTAGCAACACCAGTTGAGAATTCAACAGGAAGTCCCATCATTTGTTATACAGGATTTCGTATTATTACCTTCCCATGCTTTCTCCCATATTCCTTTCCAGTCCTACATGCCAATGAATGATCACAGAGGCAGTGAATTTAATGCCACCTCCCATGAATAACACTCATAAACAAAGAACAGCAAACTGATTTATTTATACAGTACACTACGCTTCACATATTCATGTCACAACATTAACAATATTCACAGAAGAGACAGGAAACATTAATATGGAAGACTGATCACTTGTTCATGACCACTACATAATTTAGTTTCATGCAATGTCTCTTTGTTCAAAAGTCAGTTGCTTATGGTAATCCAAAATTGTGTATTTTCTGAGCTTTCTTTTCACAATTACATTACATTTTATATTTACAAAAGGATTATCAATATATATTGTATTACAGAATAGCAAACAGTGAAAAGTGAGAGCGTGTAGTCAATACTTGAGAACCCAACCACTACAAAGTTAATAGCATTGCGGTGAAACAGAATATAGAGACAACCTGTGGCTCACATACCTGCAAGTGCTGTTTGAGGTAATGTGGTGAAGTATGTGGCCGAGGACCAGCTGTAGGATTTGCAGCCTGAGGTGGCACATTGGGCTGAGGCCCTGGCCCCTTACCAGGGCCACCCATCATATTGGGAGGGGGTCCTTGGTTCATTGTAGGCCCTCCCCACCCCTGGAAACACACCATTTTGTCAGCAACCTACTTCACTTGTGTCATTCAGTGACACAAGAGGCAAAGTCAGTTCCATGACATTTCACTATCAAAATCCTGTGTGTATTTCTTGACTATTGTCTGTAGCGCAAATCAATACTACAAAACCGAGAGCAGACATATCAGTATTTACTCAATTATTTGAAGCATGAAGTCCATCTAGATATTACTTAACAATTTAGTACTTATTTGATGGAGAAAATGCATTGCGACACTACTGCAAAAGTTACTGCTGTTCACTGAAAAACAAATATGCTGTGTGGTCAAAATTGACAATTTTTAGTGTTACAGTATATGGTTAACAGATGATGCAAGGTGTACTAGTGAAATTAAATCCAGGATTGCCATGGCAAAAGCTGCATTTAGCAAGAAGAAGAATCATCTTTTTACCAGCAAATTGGACTTAAATTTGAGGAAGAAACTAGTGAAATGCTACATTTGGAGCATCGCTTTGTATGGGGCTGAAACTTGGACACTTAGGGTAGTAGATCAGAAACATCTGGAAAGTTTCAAAATGTGGTGTTGGAGAAGGATGGAGAAGATCAGTTGGACCGATTATGTGAGAAATGAAGAAGTGTTAATTAGAGTCAGTGAGCAGAGGAATATCCTACACGAAATAAGAAAACGGAAGGCTAATTGGATTGGTCATGTTTTACGCAGAAACTGCCTTCTAAAAGAAATTATTGAAGGAAAGATAGATGGGCAGATAGAAGTGACCAGAAGACGAGGAAGACATAAGAAGATGCTGGATAACCCTGGGGACAGAAGAGGATATTCTCATTTGAAGGAGAAAGCTCTAGATCGCATTAAGTGGAGGAACTGTTTTGGAAGAGATTGTGGACCTGTCATCTTGACAGCTTACTCATGATGATGACAGTATATGGTATATGCTAGTCATGTGATGGCAACTAAGCCATGGGGTTCCGATTGATAATTGGATTTACTGAATGCTATTAACTCATAACTATGAACGACTGTAACAGTCTTGGTAATTTACACTCTATATATCACTACAACTACAGCATGCATATGGTCTTCTGTTTGTCCACTAGTCACTGCTAGGTAACAGCTTCTAACAATGCAACTCAAGATTGCTAACCACTGACTACTGACTGGCTGGCTTGTCCAGCTGATCCGCACCACTGGACTGGCAATGGCCACATGTATTCATTCTGCTACTTTCCAGCTGCCCTATCACAATACAGTAACCACGGTGATAAGGCTAATGTTAACCGTTTTACAGGAAAATTTCTGAGTGTAGTGTTGATTCAATTACTTGCATACTGCACTCACCTGATACGGAAACTGAGCCACATGGTTGGGCAACGGCCGCCCCTGGTACTGCCCTGGGCCCATGTTGTTAGCCTGGGGGTTCTGTTGGCCCCCTGGACCTGGTCCATAACCTTGGGTGGCACCATACTGCATGTTACCAAGCTGCTGTGGCCGAGGAGTATAGTTACCTGGAGGGGGGGAAAAATTGCAAACTGCAGTACAAAACAAAAGCTGCAGAATTTCACTGCTGCGTGGGACCAGTCAATTGAATATTCATAATGAGAACACAAGAAGCCAGGGGCTACCCAACCATCTACATATATAACATGCTTATGGTGATCATTACATATCATCATACTCCTCAGAACCTGTTTGTGTGATGGCTTCATTCATTCTGGGAATGACACATCACTATTAACCACGATCTCAATAGTAGTGTTTAAGACTGAAGATTTCTCAGTAGATCACAACACAGCAAACTGTTGTTATTTACGCAGCATACCCAATGATGGATTCTGGTCGTCTGAGTCCCCTGGTGCATATATTTTTACACACCCACTTCTAATTGTTGCTATATGTACAAGCTCATACTGTATTTTACACCATAATGATATTCCTGATGCCTGGAGGGACTGAGTAAAAGCCACCAAACACTTAAGGTGGGCAACCACTGCCCCAGCTGACATTCAAACCAAGTACCCCCTGAACATAGGGCAACAGAGTTACTGCAAGACCAACCTGCTCACTGCAACGTCTTTCTCTGAAACACTGGTCACAATTTACCAGGCTATAAGGTGTTCACAGTACAAGAAACCACAATTTTAATACTGTCACGCGCTTTAGTGACTATAGACAAGTTTTGGATTGATAACCGGATTTACTGGACTCTTTGATACGGTGTGTGACTACACTTTATAGTACACTGACACGCACGCATTCACACAAACACACTAGTGCCCATGGTCACATCTTCACTGCCGTTGCTTGGTAGCGGCTTCCGACAGCAGACGTTCCCCTTCCTCTAGGTTCCTGAACTGTCTCTGGCCTCACCTACCAGCTTCTCACAGCAATAGCTAACAATAACTGAAACACAACAGTCCTCTAACTAACTGCAGCTCCTAACTTGTCCTAACATCTCAGCGCAGACTTATGTAGAAAACATCACCTCCCATTATTGTTGCCATGGAATTGTTGTGTTAATTTCTGTTGGGGAAGCCACTACCCAACAACGGCTGTTGTATATTTGTTTGTTTCATGGTGGTTGCTTAGCAATGGGTCTAAATGCCACAATATTCACTACCATAAAAGCCTCAAACACTGTGCCTCCGCTAAATTTTGGGACATCAAGTCATGGAAGTATGACAACTGCGTACAGTGTCAGGAAACACATGTAATCTGTACACCATTACTTCTCAACACAGAGGACAAGCCACTGCCTTCTTTATGATAGGTCGGTTTTGTTGATAAGAAGATAACAGTCATATAAAAATGGCAGCAGGTGAGTTCAGCAAACAAGTGAACAAACAGGTATTGAGGCAGTTGTCTGAACACGGATATAACGCTTGTATTTTTAGCTTCTTTTTAATTATACAAGTCAACTTCCAATTCTTGATTTTGTTGGAGTTTCTTCACTGGGTTTGTGCGATATCAACAAGGACAACAACCATATCTTAAGGGAAGAATGTGTATTTGTTTGTTTACAACGAAAATGCAAGGCTTGTGTGTTTAGACAACGAACAGTTAACGCCAAGCAAGAGATTTATGGAATTCTGAATTCAGTTTACTGCTAATTAACATGTTCCCTCTATAGGAGAGGCGACCTGCTAGCATCACGTGAACAGATTCACAAACAATGCAATGGTGCTCAAGTGCTAGCAGATTAATTGAAAATGTAAAACAGCTGAAGGGAATAAACCTCCAATTTGTCCAGCTGCATTATGCTGTGCACAACACATCTGTATCTATCCCCATACAAATCCCGCCTACTTCCATACACAAGCATGGCATTTAGCATATCACCAGTATCGAAATCGGGATGTCCCCATGGCGACATGTACACCACTGTTATAAACAAAAACTGGTATACTAACTAAAGGTAATTAATTCAGCTGTCATGTCCTGTGCTGTGCAGGAGGATGTTCAGGCTCCAGTCACAAACAGTGACTATCACCACTGCTTATGTGCGTTTACTCTTCAGTTTAGCACCCGCTCCTTGGCCCAAGTGACCACGCTTGTCCTTCAAAAGCAGCAGCAAACATCTGCCACAACGTACAAATTTCACTTAACTGTTCTGATATTTTGCTACCAATTGGCAGGTGGTTACCACTGGCTTCCATCTCCATGGAAGCCTGGGTTGAATCCTGGGGTAATTCATGTGCAGGGGGTTATGTGGAAGTGGAGCAGTACCCTAAGCGCCTTCATTTTCCCCTGCCAATTATCATTCCACCATTCCTCCGACCTTATCTGTTATCAGGGACTGGTGCAATAGTACAATATGAGGAGATTCAGCGCTGCCCATTCATACAACTTGCTAGCGGCTACAAATACGTGCAATTTAAACATTTCTTGAGTTTTATCTATGGGGATATAACTCTTAATATTCACTGGTGTGAGAACTTGAAATCCTACATAAAACTTTCTCATCCATTGCCTGAATGATCTCACTATACTCTTAACCATTGCAGTTCAAACAAAACTAAACAACCTTCAATCCATTCCTATCATATCATGCATGAAAGGCTTGAGTTGCAATTTCACTCCCCCATAAATTACCAGTGCTAAACCATGGTGCAAAAGTATGTGTCCTCAAAAACATCTCACATTTTCTTTAGACAATCAGCTCACAGATGGCGTTGAGGTTGTCAGCCTTATACGCTGCCTGCCTGCCCATTACCCCCAGGAAGATTCCTAGTACTCATTTCTGTTAGAGGCTGAATCAACCCCAGGGCCACAATGAGGCTGGAAGAATTAGGTGAAGTGAAAAAAAAAATCCAACTCATCGGGATTCGAATCTGCAACTTTCTGGCTCATAACACAGTGCCTCAACGAACTATACTACCGCGCGCCCTAAAAAGAATCATAGTAAAATAAATAAAGAGGGAATACTTAATAACAAGACACCTAGAATGTGAAGATGAAAATATAAAAATGTTCTGTGTATGTTACAACGATGGATATTGTCAAGTGATGGAGTTACTACAGATGGTGATTGGATCTGGCTCTTTGATACAGCGACTGACTACACTTTACAGTTCACTGATACACACATACTAGTCATGCCTTCACTAGCCGTTGCTCGGTAGCGGCTTCCAAAGGCGGAATTTCCCCTTCCTCCAGGTTCCACAAGTAACCCCGACCTCAGCTACTGCAACTACTAACTGTACTGCTTATAATATCTTGGCATGGACCACACAGAAAATACTGTTCCTCTGTTGCTGCATATGGGTCGTTGCCTAGCAAAGGGTATATATACATGCCACACAATATTATCCTCCTAATCATGCTATACATCTTGCAAGTGGTGTCACTGCCTCATGTTTCTGACCATCTATGACTGTCGAAAAATAAACGAGGAAATTCAAGTTAAGCCATATTTTTGCTGTGACCTTACGAGTGGGTTTCCAAGTACTTCAGCATCTACAGCTGTACGTGGCTGGATAAAAATCAAGTTATGACATTCATTTTCTAATCAGTTTAAAATTAAACAAAACAGTAATTTGTTACTGACGACGATCAGGCAAAGATAAACTAAAGATATGAAATAACAGTAAAGTAGGCCAAATGTGTGCACTAAGTTCTTAAAGACAACAATAAGGATGAAATGATTCCAGCAGAAAAATATAACACAGGCTGTTGAACAGACATGTCCACTCCAAACCAAGGACGAAGGCCACCATGTTACGACACACTGCGGCTACTGTGTCCAAGCATGAGCATTCCTTCATGTCAAATTCAGTACTCTTACACAAATGTGCATATCTGAACAAGTGGGACACATACCTTGTGGGTACTGCTGCCCTTGTGGAGTATATGGAGCCATCTGCTGGCCACCAGGAGGAACCATACCAGGGTGAGCTGCCATCTTGTATGGGTGCATATGAGATGGCGGCGCTAGCGGCTGCTGGTATCCACTCTGAGTTGCCATTGGTGAGTGACTCATACGAGTAGGTCCACTTCCATCCGACTGACCACTGGAAGGGCGGGGAGGCATCGGAATGTTCTGTTGGCCTGTAAGCGCAAAACTATGTTGTCACTGTTTCACTCAGAAGAACTCAGGATTCGAAAAAAATACCTTACAATATAAACTGACAGCAAAAAGAACATTGGGAAGACTTTTGTAAGATAGAAAAGTTGTTTTGTAGTATCTCCAATAGATCTAAATAGCCCTAATACTCGAACAGATACTATCATTAGTATCCTCACACAGAATTTGGTCTTCTACTAGCCATTTCTTCAGTTTCTGGATTCCAATGAAATGATACATTAGTCTGTCTTATAATCTCTTCTTTTGGATCATAATACCATGCAGACTGCTAGGTGGCTTGCCAAAAGCTGAGACCAACACGCTGCATCTTTTTGGGCACGACACTAAAGGTTCCTCTAAAAGGTTGGTAACCACCTGTCAGACTACACGGTGTCACAACTCAGAAGGCGACATTCAAGATTTTAGCCTTCTGGGATAAAGCACCACGTAGTTTGGTTCTTTGCTGAAGATGAGAGCAGCAGTTTCCCATGACACATTGTAATATACCTACCAGACTACACGGCATCACATCCCAGAAGGCAGTAAACACTGCAAGAGTATCAAGTATGACATAGATCTTCACCATTCTTAAAATCTCAATCATTGTTCAGTTATTCAAGTAGCAATTCCCTTCACGATACTGTCACCAGCAATGATGACACAGGATCAAATGAAAGGATGATTATGAAATACTGCCTTAAAACAGACTGTGACCATTCCTTCCACAATTTTCCAAAATCTGTCCTTAACACCACATCATTTAACAAGATCAAATCTCCTTGTTTCTTTTTGTTTACTTCCGTCAATTCCATTCCTGTATTTTAGCCGAAGACAGTGGTGACAGTGCTGTGACTACGTGAAACACCGAACTACCACTACCTTAACATTATGGCTAAGAGGAAGTCAAATGAGTACCAAGATGGGGAGAGACGGTCGCGCCATAGCTCAAGCGGTTAGTCGCTGGCTTCCCATCGCAGCGGCCCGGGTTTGGTCAAGTGGGATTTGTGGTGGACAAAGTGGTGCTGGGGCAGGTTTTCTCCGAGTACTTCGGTTTCCCCTGCCAATCTTCATTCCACCAATTGCTCCACAATCACCCTCGCCTATCATCCGGGGCTGGTACAATAGGCCAGAAGTGGCCGCAGTACAAGGAACTCAGTCCCACCCCACTAGCAATAAAAGAAAATGATGCAGAGAGGTCATCAATAGCATGACATGCACACCACTTTCACAAAACGCTCTGAATTATACAGTTTATGAATCTGATGACTGTCGTTGAATCAGAAAAGGCTGAGACTAACACGCACGGCCCGCAGTTCCTGTGGAAAGCCGGGAGGAAGCAAAATTATCCCTGTAACAGGCCCTGGAGGCCCATAGGCTTGTGAGACGTCGCGGCTCCCACATTTTCTAGTCAATCGGCTTACAGATGGAGGTGAGGTTGTCAGCCTTACACACCGGTCGCCCTTTAACCGCAGGAAGGTTCCTGGTACTCCTTTCTCTTAGCGGTTGAGTCACAAAAATTCAAACAAAACCTGGGAATATCCTAATGGTTCCTGTTTAATCCACACCCTACATCTTTTGTTTCTATCCCTCTATGTGGGGTCCTGTCCACTTATCCATCCGTGCATTCATCTGTCTTGTAAAGAACATTGACTGCATGCCTGGAACTCACGATACATTTCTGAGTGGCAGAGAGCGACGAAAAGGGAACTTTGTGACTGGGGAATATATCTGCGCCATGCTGACTCCGAGGGACCTTCAGGTTTGGGGGCTGGACGCAGGGCTACCAACCTTTCTCTGTAAAAAAAATCTGTTGCGAAATCCAAAGAAGCATAAAACGAACGCAATCTGGCAGGATATTCTAAGGGAAGCCACGGCCGATAAATGGCCGTGTTGCTGGTGCTGATAACAATGAATAATAAACTACTACAATTGACAGATAACAGAATGTGAAGGAGTGTGTGAAAAGTGTCAAGTTGTATACTGTACACAGTCCACATTTTAATTCTGAAATAATCTGTCATAAAAGAAGGAACTGTGCCTCCATACCCATCCACCTACAACTGAAATGGCGACCACGAACAGAATGTCACCACTTTGTACGGACTAATGAAGTGTAAATGTCCAACAATTAATAGCTGCACAAGCATGTCCTCAGAAGAATGCAGAGTAAAGCTGCCATCTCATGGCAAGATGTGACAACGTGAAGCCTCTCGGTGAGCAAAGGCATTAGATGCTCACACGCAATTCCACCCACCCATTATACACAGAGTTTTGTGAAATAAATCTGTTTGGAAAGTTCATCCAGTTATACACATATGCATTTATCTGTGCACCATCTTCTATGTATCTACCTACCTACCTCTGGGCTATGTTCTACGTACCTACCTACCTACTTATGTGTTATATATGTACATTTCTATTCTTGTACATATCTTCTATTTACGTGTCTACCTACCTACATAAAGGGCCGCACCATAGCTCAAGCGGTTAGTCGCTGGCTTCCCATCGCGGCGGCCCGGGTTCGATCCCGGGTCTGGTCAACTGGAATTTGTGGTGGACAAAGTGGCGCTGGGGCAGGTTTTTTCCGAGTACTTCGGTTTCCCCTGCCAATCTTCATTCCACCAACTGCTCCACAATCACCCTCACTATCATCTGGAGCTGGTACAGTAGGCCAGAAGTGGCCGCAGTACAAGGGACTTAGTCCCACCCCACTAGCAATAAAAACCTACATATATGTATGTACATATCTACCTCTGCGCATATCTTCTATGTACGTATCTACCTACCTATCTATGTGTGTATGTATATGTATGCATGCGTGAATGTTATGTATGCACATATCTATCTGTGCATATATCTTACGTATCTACCTATCTCCGTACATGTCTTGTATTTGCGTACCCATGTACCTATACTGCCACCCATCTACCTATATCATCCGCACATCCACCACAACGAACTGTGAGGCCGCCGGAGACGCGCCAGGATACCGCACATTACGCAACAATTCCTTGGTCCCAGTCCAAGCTCTGTGCCAAATGTTTGTAGGTCAAGATCTTGTCCCGCCTTTTAATGACAGGTTCCCCTTTATTTGAGTATGTCGGTCTCTCTCGGGCGCATCCTTTTTCCAACATCACAGAGCAGTCTGCCGCCTGGGCGTCAGTCGCACGCTCAGCTGAACACCCGCCCCCGTCACCCCACACCCTACTGTACAGACTACGAAGGTCGCCGACCCAACATTCCTCACTGCCTACATTCACACACAAATCAGCTGATCTGATAATACGGCTCCAGCTCAAGAGAAGTGAAACACACGACTTCGCTGCTGACTGCATTCTCAAGATATCGGCAGGCTAGTTGCCAGGTTCACGCTCCGGCCACATGAAATGCATTCGGAGTTCGGTATCAATTGCACACTGAACGTAACCAACATAAATCAAAATTAAATTCACCGAACAATGTTACCCAGAGTCCATTCCTCGAAGGACGGCAGGCATGACTAAACAGTACACCACTGCGGCGTGCGGGTGGCGTGGAGGAAAATCGCCACTCGTTCGTTATAGACCTACGAGCTGAGAGTTAAGTCATGGTCAGCAGACTCGAGTGTCCACTGGTTACTCTCGACGGCCCCTTCAGACGATCCGCAGTCGCCCAGACCACCGGTAGGATCCCTACCGACCTCCAGGGAAAGAGGAAGGTGACTTTACTGATATCCTCAAGGCAGGCCTAGGGAAAATATCTTCACCGACATGTCCTGAGCCTTTGCGGCGAAGGTATCTTCACTGATATCCTGAACCTTCAAGGCAGGACAGGGTGGGGCTGACAACTTTCACCGCCATCTGTGAGCCGATTGTCTAGAAAATGTGTCGGCCTCGACGTCTCACAGGCCTATAGGCCTCCACGGCTTGTTACAGGGATAGCTTTACCTGTAATTTTAAGACGGAGAAGGTAAATGAGGGGCACGCTGTAGCATACTTGGTTTTTCTTTTTACCTTTTTTTTATAAGGTAACTGAAACCTCTAAGATATGGTGAGGGGGGGGGGCTAAACATCAGGTGATAGAGATACATATGGGCGTGGTAGTAAGGTTCCACTAATTCTTAATCTTGTCATAGGACCGCGCCATAGCTCAAGCGGTTAGTCGCTGACTTCCCACCGCGGCGGCCCAGGTTAGATCACGGGGTCTGGTCAAGTGGGATTTGTGGTGGACAAAGTAGAACTGGAGCAGGTTTTCTCCGAGTACTTCGGCTTCCCCTGCCAATCTTCAGTCCACCAATTGCTTCACAATCACCCTCACCTATCATCTTGGGCTGGTACAATAGGCCAGAAGTGGCCGCAGTACAAGGGACTTAGACCCACCCCACTAGCAATAAAAAAATCTTGTCATGAGCTAGAGGAGAGTGACCACCTTCATGCTTTGGCCGCATTATCGTAGAGGCCTTGTGGTTAGTCAAGCATCAGCTGTGAATGGGTCAAGTTGCAGTACGTCACCCTTCTCTCTCCATGACCCCGGACATAAAAACCAAAATGCAACTGCATTACTTCCATTCGAACGCAACCCTGCAGACACAACCAGAAAGTAAGACTGTGCCCAATGTGGAACAGAGAACCTGACAATAGAAATGGACAAGCCGGCACTAAACTTACGCACCAACCGAGAGGGATATCTCCGAAACTTGTCTAAAATGTTAACGTCACGGCCAGATGTGACCGAACGGGTCTAAGCAATTATTCGATCCTACACCTTCGAAATGTAATCTCAAATGTCTACATAAGGGCCAGAAACGACCGAACCCCACCTAAATCCACAGTCAGTCAGTCCTACGTCAAGGAAACGTGCCTAAGTGCCAACCCAAAGCAAGAAATTACAAAGTATATTAATCAATACATACAATTTCAGAACTTCAAAACGCCCATCAAATATCAACATCAGACTCAGAAATGACCGAATCAGGTCTAAATCAATCAACCAATCATTCTTACAA